CAAAATAGGATGAACGGATCATATAAACCCGAAGGCAAATATATATGAGAAATCATTTTTTTTTACAGGTAATCCACCGAGTCTGATTGCCATAGGTGGTTAATGGAAAGAATCATTCAATCAGCAGATATATCCATTTAAATAAATTTCACACGGTCTCACCTCGCAGTTGGTAACATTCTCGCACTTCAAGATAAGTGTGAAGGTTGATGGGAATAAAATCCAGGGTTTTTGTCACAAAAATTTACAACAAAAAATGATTGTATAAAGTTAAACTGAAATAGTAATGACTTACAAGTATTTTTTCTCGTAAGATTTGTTGGTACCTTTAAAGTAATTTTTGGGGAGTATGCAACAGCAATCTAATTAAAAACCGGTCTCTCATCGCTCCCGTTTTCTGATATGTCACGTGTACCTGTATTCATGCATTTCTCTAGTGACTGATTTTCAATTATAAGAATTCAATTTGCATAAAAATTCGTGCAATATAATAGCATTATTTTTTTATCAACCAATCGCTCAACATTGGAACGGAAATGACGACGCCTCTAATCTCACGAATGATGTTCACTAAAACCAAAGTTTTTGAAAGAAATGCAACAAATTCGAAAGTTGTCTATTTGTTTTGTCTTGCTGCAACTAAGTCTCCAAAGCTTATATGAAAAAAAAAAATGTTTGCTGTTTTTGGCATAGCCAATGACCATGATATTATTAACAGTAACAATTTGTTAAAGATTATAATCACAATTTTTGATTCAAATATAATCTTTTTGAATAGGATTGTCAGTTTTTCAACCGATGGTTGGTTGGTTGTTCTCTACAGCTTCCTCCACTTATGAAATAACTCCACATTACTGTTAAACAGGAAACTCTTATTGGAAGTCAATGATACTTTGTATGTACTGGGGGTATGTACGTGTACTATTATAAAGCATTTGGATATCTCATTCTATTGATATTAAGGGGCCTGCCCCAAAAAATCATTGGCCAGTTTATATGCTGAATCTGATAAGTTCAGTTTGAGGGGAACCAGTAATTGTAATTCAACGGTGTTTTGTTGTCAGATTTACAATATCTCATCCATAGGGATTAGTAGGTCAACCCCCGTAGCCATGGCTGTCATTGTCTATTGACATTTAATTTTGGGCATGTTACAGCTTAAAATTGAAAGGTCAAACCTCAGAAAATACTATAAGACCATCATCAACATCATCTTAAAAATACATGTATATGACCATGCATTCTAATTTTTTGTTGAAAGAAGTTCATCCTCTGGATCTACTTTGTCATATTCCTTTAAATAAATGCCAAGTGGATATATTCATGTCCAACAATAAGAAAATAACCCAAATGCCAAAGATAATTGAAAGACGTCTAGAGGTCACTACGCAATTTCAAACAATCGACAAAATAAAAACTAAAAGTACAGCCAATTGTTGAAATATTAAAAAAAAAAATAATCTTTCACAATTTTTTTAAGTATGAGATTCAACCTAACATTTTATAAAACTTTGATTTCATTATGGTTAGTCTGTAAAATAGACACCAATTAGACATGTTAGACAAATTTACCAAACAATGCTCGTGCTACTAGCAATATAATGCTAGGTGGTTTTGTAACACTTTTTATAAACATAGACAAAATGTACTGGCTTCTGATGAGTCCTGAGTTTAAATGATCACTCACTTATAATGTTAGCAAGTATATTTTTTTTCTAATCCTTTTGTCCGTCAGTCCTGTTCATATCTAAAAGACTTTTTATCAGTTTGTATATATAGGCCGGAGTTTGAGCATCTGTATTGGTATCCGACATAATTCACATATTGTTGTTACTTAAAACCCTAATATATCTTCATAGAAACAATTTCGACATTTAGACAAAATCTTTCACTAATGATACTGGGAAGATCCCGAACAAATTTACATAGACTATACCTGTTGCCCAATCCAGTTCAATTTATTTGAATAAAATATTGTTTAAACTAAACTAACAAATTTACAGTTTTATGTGGACAAACCCAAGTAAGATATTAACACCCCAAAGGAACATATTAAATAGAGCCATACAAATACGACATGCTTGCAGGTCCTCGGATACCATCTCGCATCAAAAACACATCATGCAGAAATGCACCTTATGTGATCCTCTTCTTATTTGAGTTTTTGCTGCTATCCAAAATCAAAATTGTGGAACATATTTTATCGGAATCATTTGGCAATATTTGCAATCTTCTGCTTCTTTAAGTAAATCTCTGCAGGGTTGGAGCACACTCAGCTAGCTGTGTTCCATTAACGGATCATTTTTGAATATGATAAATGTATTCAAAAAGTAGTTATTCCAAAGTCAAAATGTTGAAAGGAAAACCCCCAATGGAACGTTGCACATGCACAAAAATAAATTACAGGAACGTGCATATTTATATACACGAAGCACTCAAGTATGTTGGACAATATGTAGATTTGATATTAAAAGCAATGTCTAACTAAATAAAATCTATGAACGGTTGGCACTGATTTGAATTAGTGTCTTATCCATGACAGTCTTGAACATTAAAACTAAATATTAAATAAAAGACACTGCTATTTGAGTGTTTGGTAAAGGGTTGCTGTCACTGTGCACCACAGTTCAACATAGAACCCTATGGGGGAAAACCAGAGACCTCTTTATGTCAGAAAACCCTATCAAACATCCAAACATACTATCCACACTGATCTGTGTCCACACTTGTAGTTAAACAATATTCCATCAACATCCCATGATAACACATATCCACACAAATATAAAGATCTACAATAAAGTTAGCATGGCCAAAATTGTCAGTCGACCCTGTCTTCGGAACTATTGCCCTTAAATATGATATTTACATTTTTTTTTTGCCAGATTGATTGATTGATTGTTTGTGTTAAATGCCAATTTCAGCCCTAGCGGCTATATTTGTAGAGGAAACGGAGTGCCCGAAAACAACCACCAGCATTTGACAGGGAAACTGACTCTCGATCGTTGTCAGTTAAGAGTGGAGTCGAATGCACCTGTCATGTTTGGGGTTAGATCTTTTAACCTCAGTGTTGACAGGCAAGTGGTACATGTATGTTCAGTAGGTGAAAAACTTCGACCATTTGGCCACCGAGATCGATGTCTTATTTTTTCCAGAATTTATCAGACTAATCTTATTGCATTGGATCAACTTCATGCGAAAATACCATGTGAGAGATTCGGGCTCCTTGAACACTTTAATTTAGTATATTCCGTGTCTGCTCACATAGTCCGCAAGATACCAATACCAGATTTATATTCTTTTATATGCAAACAACTAAATCATATAAATGCAAAAACCATTTTTTTTTTGTCCATACAATATTACATTTTGACTAAGCATATTTTTAAACACGTGTAAGTCAAGTATTTTAGATAGATCTACCAAAGTTTTTTTTTTTTGTATATTTGTTTAAGAGATGTTTCTTTATTAAATTGCACGTACGTTTCGCGATAACTGCCAATCGTATAAACTATGTGTACAGAATAACCAAAGCAAGTTAGTGTACATAATTTTTTTTTTTGCAAATTTTGTTTCTGCTTTTAAGTTCAAAATTAAAATCTGTTACGATATGACAAAAGCTGACACAACCGGATGGACCAAAAGCAGAGTAAAAGTTGGCCACAGCATCCTGGAGATGATGCTTAATTTCCAAATTAATTTTTAAAGGTTTCACTTGAAATTTGTTTGAAACATTGTTTATTTATAACATTGCAAAAGAAAGTAACTGCTATAGGGTAGTGAAAACTTAAGACACTTAAAGTCCTCTAGCAGTGGCACAACATTTAAAATGATATCTGTTTAAATGTGCCAAGACCTGTTTCCCCGTAGAAGTGATAGAACATTTTAAAAGAAACCAGTTGAACTGTCCCAATTCCTGATTCCCCCAAACAGTGGTAGATTATGGTAAGGGATACCAGTTTAAATGTTCGAAGCTCCGTTTCTCCATAGCAATGGTAGAACATTTAAACGAATACCAGTACAAATATGTCATATTTCCCATGCAATTTAAGGAAATATTTTTATCAACATATGTTATACCTAAAGATTATATATATAGCAGAAATTAACAAAAAAGAGTTACTATCCCGCACACTAGGTCGGTACACTGAGATCAATTTCTAAATTTTATTAACTACAGCTCTTTAAGCTAGTGGATTGTCCGTCCCCGAGTATACCGTCCGCCAATGATACGGTACTGGCATGATTTAATGAATAATTTTTAATTTAAATTTCCAGATCATGTCTTATATAATTGTTATAAAACCAAAGTTGTAATGTTTTCAGAAAAACAGTTGACTTTTTGGAGACTGGCACTGTTGATTTTGATGATCGCAAACGTTATGTTTTCATGCATATTTAGCGATCGTGTCTATAAATAGTTAATTTTTTTTGTCGCACTTACTGAAATCAACATTTAATGTTTATTCGCTACAACTAGGTATTCATGGGGCGCAAAATCAAAAGCTCAAACACATCAAACGAATGGAAAACAGCTGTCATATTCCTGACATGGTACAGGAATTTCGTTATGTAGAAAACGGTTGATTTTTATATGAATATGACTATGAAACTCAAAAATGTTTTTGCCGTTGACTTCCTGGAATAAAAGCGATTAATGTAAACATGACTTGGTAGCAATTGCTACATGTATCTGTTTAAGTTAAACACTTAACAGGAAAAAAACACGAAAAAAAAAACTTTTAAGATTTAAATCATGACATGACGTTGAATCTTATATCGACATGTTATGTTGGCAAACGGGAATACAATCAAGATCCAGTGGTCTAAATGGTAACATGATATCAAAACGGTTACTATGAACATAAGAAAAAAGAATTAAGCTTTGGACCTCAGAACTTGCCGTTCTTTGACTTCTTCGTTATACCATGATAATACATTACGATTAATTGATATTTCAAGGTATTCATTTTGGTAAAGAAAATTGATTTTGTTTTCATAAGGTATTCCAAAAGATCTTGTAGACAAGTACAGAGAAGTAGTAACAGTAATGGACATGGAACAGAAAGGAGACAAATGGTTAATCACTTATGACACTGGTCTAGGGCCTCCACAGTCTTTCACATTTATATTGGGACAAGAATTGGTAACAAAAGATCTTGAAGGCAAAGGTGTAAAGGTAAATATATGCATAACTTGTTATATCAATTTATTTTTTACTCCATGCTTATTTGGCCTTTGCCAGATTCGTCACGTCGTTTTGGAATATTAGTTTTTCAATGTTCTTCAACTTATTCGGCCTTCCGTTTTTTTTTTCATTCTAGCGCCACTAGTAAGACACAAAGAGACGAATAAAGTATCTACCGTACTTAGTTTTTAATTACTTTCATTGTCACATTCAATTTTTAAGTGTATTTGTCATGAAATACAGTCTATAACAGCAAAAACTGTGCATATTTAATCTCGAGAAAGTTTTATGACGAGTTGATCCGTCGGTCGGTAGGAGAGAGAGAGAGAGAGAGAGAGAGAGAGCAAATACCTTATACTGCTTAGCTTATCGTAATTATATTGATTGATATTGATGTTGGATAAAATAAAAAGATGTATAGTACTAGTATTATTGCCAATTTGACAACTCTCTAGTAGAAACCAAATGACAGAGAACTTAACAACTGTAGGTTACCGTACGGCCTTCAACTATGAGAAAAACCAATACCGCATAATCAGCTACAGGCCCCGTGCTGACAAATGTAAATTAATTCAAATAACGGCCTGATTTATGAACAAAACAATGAACCTAAAACAAATCTTATACATACAGCATCAAACGACAACTACTGAACTTGGGACAAGCACATACAGTGGAGGGGTTAAACTTGTTTTTTGGCGCCAACACCCATACCGAATTTAGCTGGGTTATTGGCTTAACAGTACAACATTAGAACACACTATAAAAAATCAGTTGAAAAGGGCATAACTTATCAGATCTAGATCGACAAGAAGCAGAAAAAACATCTAACAAAACACAGACCAGACATGGCAGGGTATTTTATAATATTTATACATCCCCGTAACAAAAGTACATTTAGTACAGATCTGAGATTACATTGTTATGCACTTGCAGTTACTGACAGCTTGTTCAAACCAATATTAACTGAGAAAAAAACCTAACATGTATCGAAGACTTAAATATCAGTACACATTCATCACACAATAAAACTACAGGTAGTGTTAAGATGTCATTAACAGTCAGAGAAAACTTGGTCTCGAGCAATGCCAAGACACAGGTATCGACAGATGGTAGAACGGTACATGTACTTATGTATGTAACAATAATATGTAGTTTGGTTTTATTTACTGAAAACAAAATCAATACTTAAACACCATTTCAGCGCACCATGCTGGTTTTTTTTGGTGAAGAAAACCTAAGTACCCGGAGTCGAACCTCCAATTAATCTATCCACTCCATGTATATCACAGAACATAAAAAACCCATATTGTCCTAAAATGAGCTTCCAAAATTTATCAATATATTGAGTACAACGTAAACATACCTTTAGTAAAAGTAGTCGTACTGACATTAATCCGACTATATCTGGACGCATAAATTATTGATAAAAACACTATTACTTATAATGAAAGGACCATAATTTTGAAAATGAATAGATAGATGTTTAAGTACATGTACAACAAGTATAACATTTGAACAAAACTCTCAATAGAGCGACAACAGTTATACTTTACTGATGTATAGAACATATAAGATCTACAGAAATGAATGATGGGCGATTAAACTATTGAATAAGCTAATTTGTTGAGATTTTTTTCTTGTATAAGGGAGTTGAAACAGCTATGTTCCATCGTTGATATTACAAAATTTGGATTTTCTGCACATTGAGCGCAATGAATTATTTAAAGAAGGTTTTCATATTGTGCCATTTTTTTATATGATTAAGGTCAAGTCATGTATATATGACGTTCAAAAGCCGATTTAGTGATGAGTAGAGTTACACAGGAACTGGGAATATCGATGATAATAATTTTAAAAACTTTCGATTCCTACGTTGACTATATTTTATATTAGCTACGTAACCACCAAACTTCCTATAACAAGTTTCATTTCACGTTACGACATTTCAGATGATGAGAAGATTAAAAGAAATAACCGTTGAAGTTCAAATTCGTTTATTAGATATATCTAAAATTCTAAATATATAATTATATCATCTTCTTAAATTTATTTTCATTCTATGCAATTTCTAAACACATCCATTTTGCAGGCTACAGCAACTCTAAGTGAGGATGGCATATGGACAGACAAAACTAGTCATGAAATAATGGGATATAAAGAAACAATCACCACAAAACGAGTTGAAGGAAATAAAATGATTGCTGTACGTTTTTTTTTTAATTGAACACAACTTATTTTGAAGAACAAAAATCTAATTGAACAGCATTCATATTCGATTTGTTTGGCTGCTTATCTTATATATGCTTAGATATAATTATTTCATTTATACTCCAAGGTTTAAGATGTTCAAACATTTTATAATTGGCTGCCTTTCGCCATAAACACAAAATGGATATGAATATATGATTTGTTCTTTTGAATGATGATAAAAGATAAAGGAATACGAAGATGTATGATTGCCAACGAGACAATTATCCAACAAAAACCAAATGACATAAATGCACCAATAGGTCATCATACGACCTTCATCAATCGGCAAAATCGGCATACCGCACGGTTAACTATAAAATGACCAACATACAATATTTTTCAAATCACTTCAAATTAGAAAACTAAGGATTAATGTACAAAACAATAAACGAAAAATAAATATGATAGATTGCAATCAAATGACAATTACAGGATTACAGGCTACTGAAAAACAACATATGTTCGTTTAAATATGCTGGAAATAATCAAACGAGTCAATACTCAAAAACACAAACTAACGAAAAAACCCATATAGAAGTCAACATATTACAAGCTGAAAGTTCTATATATACGATATAACCTGTTATTGTTAATTGTCCGTCTTTGTTATTACAACAGCTCGAACAACAGTGCAGAAAATCACGATTTTATTCAATGTCCAAAGAAAATCCATGCACATTTTTAAAAGCAATTTTGCCGGTATTGTATTTACCTTTTCAATAAACTCTTGCTTCGTAGTTTGTTTTGAAAGAAGAACTATATGAAATGTTTCAAGTTGGCGCGTTATTCTAGTCCTTAATGCTCATGCTATTTAATGAGTGTTTTTCACTTAATGCCTATGCCATTTTATGAATTTTCTTCATTTGTTTTAGTCAACAACATGTGGTGGAGTGACTATGACCTATGAACTTGAGAAACAGTAACTAGTAATCTGCATCTCGTTTTATTTACTTTCTATGTATAGTTGCTTACACGGATGAAAGAAGAAAGTTAACGCATACCCGTTTTCAACGCCACTAAATTTCCTAGATGAAACCAATAAATTCTTTTTGCATCTTCGATTTTGGAATAATAATACACGTTGTTAACATCAGCTTTATATAAAATAATAAATGGACGACTACAACAGTATTGTAATGTCTTATGCTGTAATCACACACAATTATAATAACGTAATGGTAATGTTTTGCTCAAGGTTATTGCACTCAAACATTGAAAAAATACTTTTGAAAGTGACTATAATAATAGCTTGTCGTGCCTTCATTCATTGACCTCTCGTTAACGGTTTCATACCAGCGTTAAACAAATCACATTTAAATTTATTACAATAAAATAAATTAAAAAAATTTCATGATTTTTGAAAACCTGAAATCCTAATTGCTTTTGCTTGTTTTGTTGTAGTTTAAACAAATGCACTGTTCATACAATAAAATCCATGACAAATGCATTCTTAAATTGTTAACATGTATTACATTTAATTTGCCGACCTTATTTTTATCAGTTTAAAAATGAGACTTAGTTTCTTCTATTTTAAATGTTCTTGAATTTAAAAAGGTTTAAAAAACGTAACGATCACGATATGTGATCAACTCTCAGACGGTTTATTTAATGAACTAAGCAGTAGACGTCGAGACAGAAAATAATCATGGCACAGTTTGTTGGGAAATGGAAAATTATCAATTCAACAAGGAAAAACTTTTTTTTTTATCTATATGGCAGATTGATGTTTGACTGTTCAACAAACGAATGTTTTAAGATAAGCACCTAAAGAGTAAAGACAAAAATAATGGTTTATACACCAGAATAAAAAGAATTATTGATCATGTAAGCTATTGCCGACCTTAGTTTTCAATGTTGTTTGGGTGCTGTATCAATAACATATACCCTAGCTCTTTTTTATTCATAAGAGTGCTACTTGCACGTGAAACACTTATGAACAACATCTACAAACAACAACCACTGAACATCAGGTTCGTGACTTAGGACAGGGGCAAACACATTCTGAGGGTTGAAACGTTTTAATAGGTCCTTCACTCTACCTGAAACAATAGTGTAACATCACAACATAGAAAGACACACTTTAAAGTATAGATGTACAGAAATATTCTTAGATATATAGAATGTGTTATGATCTTATCGACAAAAGAAAAAAAGGCAGAAAAAAACTAGCGTACACTGCATTACATTGGACCCTTAGATAAAAGAAGTAGATATAACCAAGATACGTCAACAGCAATATCTTCACGACAACAGTTGATAAAAGGTTACAAGAACATACTAAGTGGTGTTGGTTGGTGCGTTTTAAAAACATCTCCTGTTTTGTCAAAATATGTATATAGTTTTACGTTAATATGTTCTCATTGAATTAAAGTTTTTTGCAACAAGGAGGTATAAATAAATCAAATTAACATATTATATATAAATATGTCATTCTTCTTCCTTTGACAGAAGTACCCTTTGGTGTACATGAACCCCACCAGTACCCTAAATTCACTGTTGATGTATTTGTTGTTGCATATATTTATATATAAAAGGAGCCTTCAACTGTTTGCTTCCAACTTCCAACTTGTTCCCTTAATCAACGATTGCTCTGCTCTTTTTTGTTTTTAGTTATACAATATTCCATCGACATCCCATGAATACACCTGTACCCAAAAACGAAAAAAAAAAAACCGACGGCCTGATTTATGTACCAAAACAAAAAACGAAAACATTCATGAAAGACATCGACCACTGAATTACAGGCTCCTAAAAAAATCCCATTTGCGTTTTAAATATGGGGGATATACTCCGATGAGTCAACAACCCAACAACACTAACTAATGAAAAAGCCTTCTAGAACTTAAATTTTGTCTTTAACCATGATAGACAGATCGTGTTCCGTATGATAAGTTATTAATCGACTTGATTCTAGACAATGAGAGAGTAGTATTAATGGTATGTTGCCAATAGTAAGTACAAAAAACATCCCGCTACCATTCCGACAAACTTTTACAGGGTTCCTTCTATTTGGCATTCACAATAACGTGTGCTGGGACACGAATAAATCTTTCATTGTTCGGCCGATATGTTTGTATTCGAATCAGAAGGATAAAAACACGCATTAGAAAGCATAATAAAAACCCTTTTAGAAAATATACTTACGGAATGCGACCTATTTTTTTTGTAATTTTTAATGATGTGATTGATTGGTTTTAACGCAACTTTCAAAACTCTTGTGCTATTTCGTGACAGTCAGTTTTTATTGGTGGAGGAAGCCAGAGTGCCAGGAGAGAACAATTGACCTTCAATAGGAAAAAATGACAATCCTAGTCATCTTAAATTGGCACGTTTTCGTATCTTTATTCATAAATGCTTATTTATAAGGCTGGTATCTTTGATGACATTTTTCTTTCTTATTTTTACTACATGTAGTCAACAACATGTGGCGGTGTGACGATGAGCGCAAGAACTGTTTGTTTTATTTACTTTCTATGTATATTTGGTTTAAGCTATATAGTGTTATACTCGAAGCAGATGGGATCCATATTAAAAGTTCTGATTTAATGACATAAGGGAAATAAAAAAATCAATTGTTTCACTTTAAGTTTTGATTGAATTTACCCCTTGCATGCTGTAAAATATAAATTTGCTGACCTTAAGTCAATTTTACGAAAATCTCGTATTGTCATTGACTAAATGCTAATATCTTTGTATCAGTTGGTTCAAGTTATATTTTTTTTGATAAATAGTTATAAGTTGCAATGGTTATTTTTGTAAAGACGCATATTGATAAGAATATAGATTATAATATAATGTAATTTTCACGACTCTATCTTTTCATCTCACTAGTTCTGCTTTTTTCTCATCTGTTGTCTCATAATTGGCTATGACTTACAAATCACCTGGTATGTTAAAAAATAAACGACGTCTTCCTCCAAATAACAATAGCAGTGCAAAAAAGGAAACAATTCTGAAAAAATATATATAAGAAGATGTGGTATGAGTGCCAATGAGACAACTTTCCATCCAAGTCACAATTTGTAAAAATAAACCATTAAAGGCGAAAGTATAATATTCAAGGCGGTGTTATATACCTCTATTTGGTGGTTACCGGAAATGTAGGACATAATTTACCCTGTTTTATGCTGTTTTACGGGACTGTATACTTTTCTTATGCTTGTCGGCGGCGAACAGTTAGTGTCGTCTGTCGTATATGTGTTTTTGTGAATGGCACTAAAATAAAGTTGATAGATATAAAGCGTGATTTCAATCTTATAGTCCCCCCAGACAACAAAAGGATTGAGGCCCACGACATGGTGGAGGATTTCTAAAGGCTTCTGAAGTAAATATTGCTTGTATTTGTTATTGTTGGTGAACATTTGCAAACACGTGGAAGTAGACAACATGGACGGCAATGAGCCAAAATCAGCTAAACAAGCAGATCCTCAGGCTGGAGTCTTCACAGACAAGTTTTCCTTTAGATTATACGCCGGTAATTTTTAGTGATAGTAAAGCAAGATTTTTACAGAATGAAGTTAGTTCTAGGACAGAACGGAAAATTCAGTGGTGGTTTAAAAGAGGTGCATCCGCGAACGACCAATTGCAGTACCTTAAAGACTTAGAACTTAAATTACAGAGACATCCTAAAATATTACTTTACGTTTGGCAAGGAACGTGTGATCTCACGAAAAAGATGGTAAATTTATTTCTTTAATTCAAGAGATAATTCAAATGTTAATCAATTGACAAAAATTTACAAAGAAATTCATGCTTTTATATCAGATTTTCCGACGGTAAAACTTGCCTTTCTATTCAATTTTTTATTGGAATGCCTATAAAAATCATGCTACTCCTGGACTGTTCAAAAATGACGATTACTTGTTGATTGAACAAATTGATACAGTAAACAGCTTTATCCGTGAAACCAACATATTACTACAAAAATATTCACCAAAATTTAATTGCGACATCCAGAATTGTAGGAACAGCTCGGGCAGTAACCCCAGATACACATACAAATTTTATAACTTTTTTATTGACGGAATTCATCCTTGTCCGGCTCTTGCCAGACTGTTGCTACTCAGAATTTGTGAATTGACTCAAAGAGACTGCATTAAAGCATGAATAATTTGGGAAACTCAGAAAATGTAATTCGGTGATAACTGTATCGCCAGTACTACCTACATGTACATTGTTGTTTCTTTATTTTTTTTGTTATGAGATTGTCGTAGATGAAATTTAAGGAATCATTTAAATTTGCTTGTTTTGTTGATGATTGCATCGCTAAACAGAAATAACACTTCGTTTAAAAATGGCAACGCCGTGATTGCTTTATAAAGTGATGATTGCATCGCTAAACTGAAATTACACTTCGTTTAAAAATAGCATTGAATGGACTTCTTACAAACTTTAGTTGCGAGCTTTACAAAGTGATGATTGCATCGCTCAACTTATTTACACTCTATCAAGCAATACCCATGGTTGGACTTTTGAGGAAGAAATATATATTCTACTGTTTTGGTGATGATTGCATCGCTAAACTTACATAACATTAGATTGCGGGATTTAGGAAGTTAGAGTTATACCCTGATTTTTCAACTATGAACTATGCAGAAGAACATAATCTTCTTAAATTGTGACGATTTTGGTGATGATAGCATGGCTGTTATTGCATTGTACTAATGTCAAATGTACTTTTGTTTACTGTTATTTTCGTATGATATTACGATTGATTTTTGTGAATTTTTTTAAAGGTTGTTATACATTTCTAACATATGTGACATTCAAAAAAGCATATATACCAAGAAGCTAGATAAGGCATGATTATGAACCAGATGTGTTACATGCAGCAGAATTAAAAAGTCTTTCAGTAACTTGCGGAAGTTTTTGTCAGTTGAATGTATAACGGTGTACAGAGTGTTTGTGTTTGCTAGAGTGAAAACCTGTAAATTTTCTATAACATTGTTTATTGCGACTGCGAGTATATGTATATATGTGTATATCAAAAATATTTCCATGGAATTTTGGCCAGTTATGTAAGTGCGTGTGATAGTGTTATACTAGATTGTGTTATTTGAAAAACATATATTAAGATTTCTGGTCTCTGCTAGCATCACTGTGGTTAAAGCACAATTAAATTGTCACCAATATATAGCACGCATAAGTCAACTGTATTAAATTTATATTAATCTTATAGTATATATGCAAGTACAAACAAAACTGTGACCATGTACGGAGTCTGAGACAGAGTGAGCGATGCCAGAGTGAGAAAGGGTGTATACACATTTGAAATGTTTTTTGTTTTATTGTTATTTTTGTATAATGTTTTATTGCTGTCTGCATTTCCAGTGACCAGACCAAAAATTTTCAAATTTTACATTTGCGCGGGGGATGTTATATACTTCTATTTGGTATTTCTGATTATGAAATTGCAAAAGGATTGAGGCCCACGACAGCGGAGCCGTGGCTCACATCGAACAGCAAGCTATAAAGGGCCCCAAAAGTGACTAGTGTGAAACCATTCAAACGGTAAAACCAACGGTATAATCTATATAAAAAACGAGAAACGAGAAACACTTATGAACCACATCAACAAACGACAACTACTGAACATCAGATTCCTGACTTCGGACATGTGCAAAACAAATGCAGCGGGTTTAAACGTTTTAATAGGTACCAATCTTTACCTTTAGTTATCTGAAACAATATTGTTACATCCCAACAACGAAAGACACACTATACAATATCAATTGAAATAGCTAAACTCATCTAAAAAGACACAATGTAAATACAAAATCAAAAAAATAAGGAGTGAATAAATAAAGGCAACAGTAGTATACCGCTGTGAAATGTTACACAGTTTCAGAAGCACATATTTTTTTTCTGTATATATTAATTCCCCCTGAAACTTAATTAACTGCCTATAAGTTAACAGAAGCGTAATGGATATTTATGTTGTATGTGTTATCTGATCACTTAAATTAAAAAATAATATACATGTATGACTTTATTTATGTGTCTTAAAAATGTGTTTGTGTAGCAGTTTGTTGGTAGGAAGTACCCAAACTTTACCTTATTAGGACTTTCCTTGCGATAAAAGATGCTTCATTGTGTGCTTAACCGTATATATTGATATTAACCTTGCCATTTGATTAAATTGATATAGAAAAATAATGTATGTTTATTTCATATTTGGTTGTGTGCAGTATGTTGTTTGTTATATTGCGTAAGCTGGTAGAAGTACCCAAAACTCATTTTTGTCGGACGCACGGAAGAGCATTTGATTTTGAAGTAAGTTGTATGTTCATCTTTATCTTGCAGTAAAGAGTGAAATAACAAAATATATTCATAACCTTCAAATAAACATAAAATATCAACAGAGATACATACACCTAATTGTTGACGGAAACACCGACGCTGAAAACATTTACACTAACGCTGAAAACAGCATGTAATCGAGACAAAATAATGATTTTTAATATTTCTAAAATAAATCTTCACAGAGATAATTTTATCTTTAAAGATAAAACATACTAATATAGCGAGTTTCGATCAATCGATACACATTGGTTTAATACATCACAGAACATTTAAGTAGTCTCCGCCTTGATTTATATAATCACCATGTGATTCTAAAACAAAAAAGGTATAGTAATAAATCGTTGCTGACACAATACCTGTAACAGAATATGTTCCGTAATATAGCACATTAGTAAGGACAAACTAAAAATGAACCAAACAAAAATTGTGTATGTCAGGAATATATATGTAATGTTAGATTAATGAAATCACGTTCACATTTTAAGTCAGTACAACGGTGCTTCTATATACCAGTACATAAGAGTCCTCTGAACAGTAAGATTTTAGTTGCATCCAAAGGAACCGTACATCATTGCTATGTGCATGTTATAAGTCAGGACCCTCGTCAGCAGTAACATTGAATCACTTTTTTTACGCGTGAAAAGAAGTATTTTTAAATATGTATTTTAATATATAGAAATATAAGGAATTGTTAAGCCTAACACGTTTAACCTGTCATGTTTTTGTAACAATTCTTTCATTTTGAAGGATGTTCATTGTTTATTTTTGGTATGTCCTAAGTAACTTTTTCATTAATGCTGTTTTACAATTTCTTCTATTGAAACTTGTCATATATCAAATAACTATTTCTAAATAAAGGCAACAGTAGTATACCTCTGTTCAATAGTCATAAATCTATTAAGCGAAAACAAATCCGGATCGGATTCCAAAACCGAGGGAAGCACATCAACTATAAGAGCAAAACAACGGAACAACAGAAACACTGACCTGCTACAAAACAAAGGCCAAAATATATAGAAACGGACTATTTGATAACAACTGCCATATTCCAGACTTGGTATTGAACATTTTAAGAAAAAATGGTGGGCGAAACCTGGTTTTATGGCTAGCCAAATCTCCCGCTTATATATAAACTATTTTGAAAAATTGCTTCGGGGTTATTATTGCTTTCTGATATTTTCTCTCATGTTTATGTCTGTGTTCTTAAATATATTTCGATTAAGATTCATCTGTTATTTACACATATACTTTTTTGTGTTCTGATTGGATATCTTTAATTATTGTAGTTTTTGATCATTATCCACGTTATATATCACCTCAAATAGCAGATAGAATACGAAAACATGAAATTGCAATGCAAAACGTTCTTATATTCTGGCTGGCCAATTTTTATATAATAAGATGTTGACAAAGTTTTTAAATTTGATTAGTTTTATCAATCGACATACCATCGATGTTTAATTCCGATTTTCCTCCTCCCATCTTTGTTTCATTGTCGAGCCCATTACGCATGACTTCTGATTGGTCAATATTTAGAGAGTCATATGTTGTGTGTTGATCCTGACAATCAGCTCTTAGATTCAAGCCTTCGTATTTCGGCTCCCTAAAATGATAGTTCTCAATATACAATCATTGTTTTATTAAGCCGTTAAGCAACAAACAAAATATATTGAGGGGTTTTATTTTATACATAAACGTTAATGTGTTTGTTTCTCCTTTTTGTCGCAATCGTACATGATTAAAATTAATCCAGAAATCTTTTTTGTACGCACGGAATTTAGAATATTCATTTTTATTAAGACGGCAGTGAAATAAAAAATAAAATACATGTATTTGACTACTTGACATAAATATAACAGTTTACAGTCAGCAGATAAAGTATCTTTAGCATCTTTAAGTTGATGTTATAATTTTATACGAAGGTCTTGTTTGTTAAGTTCATAGTAATCCCCCCTCCCCCGATTAATGTGACGAAAACAACGGCGGAAGATACTAAGGTCATTCCAAACTAAAAAGTTGAGAAACATTACATGTAAATTTGGTTCGATTAATCATCTCACATGGTGAGTCGGCTCAGCGCCATGTAATATAGTGTCATGGGTATTTTTGGTTGCAAAATATTAAGGATTTTTGACATTTTTGTTGATTTTTTACACTTTGTATCATTTTCTGGCAATGAAATGAATGTTATAGGAATGGTAAAGAACTGAACTTCATTGTTGAAGCCAATTATATATTGACTACTCGATTTTCAAAACTACCTTGTCTATTTTAGTCTGAATATGATGTAATATTTTGATCTATTTCGCCTTTGTCGTTTTTATAAAAAGTAATAAAAATAACGTACTCCTAGGAAAATCCAAAACGGAAAGTCCCTTATGGCAAAATCAAAAGCTCAAATACATTTAACGAATTGAAAACAACTGTTATATAACTGCAAGATTCTTATGGAGATGATTTCTTTGCTTTACATTTCACTATTATTTATCTACCATCCTCTAATTTATAGTTGTTTATTTGTATCTTTACAAAGCAATAGGTTTAACTCGTTGATACTTTCAAAGCACTTCTAATTTATTATAGGCTTTTACATGTAAATCTAGACTTCATACCTGTTTTCTCTGGTAGCAACTGAAATGTAAAAGCACTTCGATATAATGCAAAAATGCAAAGTCATGTTAACCAATTTTGACTGATAAAGGAAAGAGAAAAACACTTTTCATTTAAAAACTGGACAACAAAGATAATTTAAATTGTTTTTAGATTAAGAAGGAGATTTGCTTTGACGTCTTCGGAACGATAGCAGAAACAGCAAAAAAAGCATAAAGGGTTTGATAGGTTAATTTGGTTGCTAGACAAAAACAATGCACTTACATTCTTGATTCTGATAAAAATGAATATCACTCTCCGCTTTTGTTTTAGAATCAGGTATCTTTTCCAGTTTGCATCCTAAAAATCAGAAATTTAAAATACAAAAATATGTGTATGCTGTTCGTGTATAGTTGTGACGTATTGTAAGAAATATTTTCTAGTCAACATTGCTTTCGTGCAATCTTAATATTCATTAATATCATTATCATGATTTTAATTCATGCATTTAATTGTTTAAGAACATTTCTATTTTCAAATACGATGATTACCAGAGTGTATATCATCTCGTGTTTTTATATTACGTTCTTCAAGTATTATGAAAAGAGTTCTGGTTATTATAACGACGTGTAATATGCTTGGGCGTATCCATCTCTTGTTGAATTTATAGTTTTATATGACTTTAAGGTAATTCTTTCAAGGTATCTTTGGCAAAATAACAAGGAAGATAACAATAATAAGAATACAGAATAAATACATAAGAATAAGAAACAGTATTGGTTGATAAATGAAATATCGAGGGAACCAACAAACCAAGACGCGATTTATCTGACTTAAGATTTGAGTCATTTGGAATTCATTATATAGTTATATACCTGGTTTATGGTGATAAATAATCAAAAGCTACAAAAAAATGGAATTCAACCAATGCCGTCGCTTTATTTTTATTATGGGTTACATGTACGAACAATACAATTTATCATAGTACTTTAATATTGAGAATGGAAATTGGGAATGAGGCAAAGAGACAACAAACCAACCAAAGAGCAGAAAACATCCACAAATGGGTCTTCAGCAAAGCGAGAAAATCCCGCACCCGGAGGCGGGCTTCACTGAACTGGCCCATGAATCAATGTGTACTAGTGCAGTGAAAATGGACGTCACACTAAACTCCGGAACATATAAATGAACTAAAATAAAAAAAAAAACATGACTAACAAAGGCCAGAGGCTACTCGCAAAAATGACGCGGGGTTAAACATGCATTGTGAGGTCTCAACCTTCCCCTATACCTCTATCCAATGTTCAATAAACAAACACCCTGCAATGCGCACAGTAAAACTCAGTTAAAAGAAGTCGGAGTCTAATGTCGATTTGAAAAGTTCACTAGAGCTTGTGTTTATGTAGTTTTTTTTAATATCGACTCTAAAAAAAACTTTGAATTAAATTGAACTGAATTGTATGTCAAAAAAGGTAACAGATGAAACTAAGCAAAATGAAAATGATACATTAATGAACAAAGGACTAAAGGCATAAAAATTTCTTTAGAATGTGAAACGTCATTTTCTTTTCTTATGTAGGTATTACGCTATCTACAATTCAAATACTAGAACAAACATTATCCAAAAGTTTGCAATGGTTCAGGTACATTTATGTCATTTTTAAAACTTTGTATGTGATGTCAGAAATAGTGTGTTGAAATTTTTTTTATCATACCTGTTTTCCTTAAAGCGAGAATAACTGCTCATAGAATTACCAATGCTAGACCCCCAATACTGCTACCAACAACAAAGGAATGCTACTATCTTGATTTATACCCGAATCTGAAGCTGTATCAATAAGATGTAATTGAATAAAAAGGATTTCAGTTCTTAAAAATGTGACACTTCTTTGTCATGTGATAGTTTTACAAATATAAATTCATAATTCGGAGCACCTGCGATCACTCCTAGTATTCAAATTGTTCATGATGCGCAGTATGAATGTTTTGAGACAATTGTTTGTCTTCTTGTTGTTAGTTTACGTTTATTTGCCTTAAGCTTGGCGTTGCCAGTTTTTCTCCAACTTGAGAGATTGAATATTCCTTCGGTGTCATCCGACTTTCATTTATATATTTGGTGCAAAGGATATAAATTCAACGATAAATGTTTGTTCAATTGGGGAATCATTCAGATTGATTATATGACCATATTTTATAATTTGATAAAGTTCACGACTGAAAAAAGTTTAAATAAAACTTCTATGAATCGATTGCACGTTTGAAAAAGGTTTGTATCTTTGGTATTCGGGTCTTACATTTCAACATTGCTAGAACAAAGGATACAATTGAAATTAAGATGAATTGACGGAATAATAATCATGTCAATGAGACAGCAATATAACGATGCACAAGCTTAGAATATACGTGTCTTACACAAAAAATGAATATACGACCAACTTAAAAACCCAAGTAAGAAATATTTCACTTACTTCCTGATAGTTCTAGGGTAACTACGTACTCAGTTGGACTGCCAACGTTGTTTTCTAATTGAACTGTGTAAGTAGTGAAATCATCAGTTGTTAAATTATTGATTTTGAGAGTCAAAATAAATCCATCGAGATCAACTTCTATGCTGTAAAAAAAACCTTTCACAATCGCAGATGTTTCGGACAAACTGTACTTTTGGGAAGGAATAATCTTGAGATCTTTGTTTATTCCACGATACCATGTTATCGATTCATACTTTGGAATACTATACACCTTGACCGTTATCTCTGCCTCTCTTCCAACTTCACCATGCACAGTCGATTTGTTAACACCTTTGATGTTCGGCATAAAAACAGGTTGCGCTAGAAATAATTATATTTATTTTAGTGTCGTGTTATTACTTATCTAAAGAGATAAATCAAAATTTACAAATTCATGACGTGCGTCACAATGCCCTACACACAAACGTAATTTCAATACGTTCAGAGTAAATACAACTGCAACTTTAATACTACAGGGCTATATAACATATACAAAACAACCGTCTACTAATAAAGACTATCAAATTTGCCTTTAAGCTGAAATTATACCTGATTCAGTGAGACATAAACATTTTATACTCCTTTTTTCTCAATATGTTTTTTTTAAGGTTGAGCAGTATTTTTTTTTTATGGAAACAACAAAAAGGAGGTCGGAAGTAAATGAAAAAATTTATTCACGAGTAATAAGGTTATAGATGTATGCTATTTCCTATTACATACAACTGCCATCTCAATGTTAAATTTTCTTAAATAAAAAATTAAAAAAATAACTTCATATTAATTCACTACCATTTATAGTGACAAATCCATATCCAGTCTGCTCAATGATTCCATCTTTATCTTTTATTCCGTTGCCTGCTTTGCACTCATATATTCCGTTGTCCTGATAACTATCATCAGTGTGAGAGACCGGTAACACCAGTTCGCCATTTCTGTTGCTTCCTATTTTTCTTATCAGTTTTCCATTTGATGAAGTATGCTTCCATTGGTAGTATGTGTAATTGGAAGGGTTACCAGTAGCATTGCAAGAAATTACTCTTAAATTCTCCAGTTGGCTGAAGGTCATATTATTCACATCTATTTTTGGAGCAACAATTCAAATAAAAAGTACAGAGAGGTTAGCATCTCAAACAATAACACGAAGATGTGGTATGTTTGCCAATGTGACATCTCTCTACCAGAGACTAAATGACGTAGAAGATAACAATAGTTCACCGCGTGCAGCCTTCAAAAATGAACAAAACTCATACCGCACAGTAAACTACAAAAACGCCCGATATGATAAATGTAAACAAATTAAAATGAGAAAACTACTAGCCTAATTAACGTACAACACCATTAACGACAAACAAATTTTATATAAAGTACCTGACTTAGGACTCCATCAGTGAATCTCTTGTGTACATCTCTATAATTTTCGTTTATTTCGTAATTTCATAATTGTATTTTGTATTGATTTAAGAACTGTCATAGTTTCCTTTGATTTCATTAGCATGTGTTTTTTTAATTAACAATATAGGGATTTGCGTTATGTGTAGACATCTGCCCATGTTTACAAGATGTGATGGTAATGCAGTGTCGTTTGGTTATTTGTGTCAATAGGTTTCTATTTCATTAACTTATATCCATACTCCTTGCTTTAGGAGTACAATTACTCTAAATAAAATTTCAACTCAATTTTCACGAAAAAATAAATATTTACTACCATCTATTACATTCTCCTATTTATTGTTTTAACAACGCCTGCAATGTGTCCAGTGCCTATACCACTCGCCATCTGGACTCTATGAAAATAAAGATTTCGTTTGTCGGGCGATGCCTAAGCTCTTCACTTCCGTTTTAATCTGATAACAATGTTGTAACATATAACATATAGTGGTATGAGGATGGTATTTCTATTGTTAGCAATTTGTTAAGGATGCTACTAATATTACTATCTATACAATCACACACGGTTCAGTATTATTAAATATTGTCAAAATAAATTAACTCTCTTGTTAACCAACCACTTATTGTTCAGGTTTCAAAGGATGCTATTAATATTACTATCTTTACAATCACACACGTTTCAGTATTGTTAAATATTGTCAAAATAAATAATCTCTCTTGTTAACCAACCACTTATTGTTCAGGTTTCAAAGGAGACAGCAATTGTGTAGGGTATTTGCACTTACTAGTATCCCATATTTTGTCTTGACGGATGGAATATTTGTAGAAAACAATTATACGGTTAACATCAACAGGCAATGCTTGACCGTAAACTGATTTGGCATTCAGTTGAGGATGTGCTTGCCTTTTGTCCTCAATAGAGTTTTTATATTTTTGACTTTCCAACTTTTGATCTAGAGCGTTGCTGAACATTATTATTCCAGAACCACGTATTGTTCGCATGCAAACTATCTACATTTGTTTGTATGATTGACATATTTATAGGACACTTAGTGACTCCAAAGAGCCTTTCAAATAAAATACAACCGAAACACATATACTTCTTTCAAACTCACATTGTACTTGTATCGGTTGACTTGCTGAAATGCCGACGGGATCTGCTTCAATGCTTGCTCTGCATGTAATCAGCTGACCATTATTTTGTCTGACCACTGTGTACGCCAGTGCAGATGTTACTGTCCACGTGTCTGTAGAAACCTCATATGCAAATTTCTGAGTTGAGTAAGGTGTTATATTTTTATCCTCCATGAACCAATCAAATAAAGCGGCAGGACGACTTCCAGAACTTGTGCACGATATTTCCAGTGGTTCAATCTCCTTTAAAATCACAGGATCGCGATCAAATATAGGTGCAAGAGGTTTAACTAAATAAGGAACAAGATAGTGTGATACATTGAACAATTAAAAAAAATGATATTCAGCAACAAATCATATACACGTAACCAAACACAAATTATGTAACAGTCGTGCTTATTTTGAAAGGTTTCGTGACGAGCTAAGGAAACACTAGCACTGGGTTATCTCATTTAAGAGGATAGGCTCTGCTAAAATGTACAGAACAACTGTTGTTATATGGTAGGTTCACGGTCGCCGAAAGAAGTGAATATATGTGGATTGACAACATTATCATAAACAGTGTGATTGTGTGCTTTTTTCTTTTATTTTCCTCATTTTTCAGTGTTGCGTCAAATGGAATAACCTATTTAAGTACGGAGCCTAATACTTTGAAAAGCTTCATTTAAGAATACATTGATAGTTAAAAATTTCCATAGAAAGGACTAGTATAATACGTTTTAATACATTTCGAAGCCTATTCTGTTTTCATAACCAAATATTTCGTCTGTTTAATGTTGTATTGTATTTTATCCCGGGATCATTTTGCATATTTGTTAGATAATTTACTAAAATGAAGACAAAAATTGTATCGAGTTTTAATTACAAAAATTACATATCATGGACAAAAAAATTCTCAATATAGGTAAATCAGTCTTCAATTGGTCATTAAATTAATATTCAAATATAAATGTATGCTGAAAACGGATCCTTGCACAAAACTTTCATACAAAAATGGTCGCACAATTTTTCAAAATAAATGATACATTTGAAGACCATTTACAGCAGTCTGCTTATTTTTGACTACATATACAATAGAAATGTTATTTTCGGGCAAATTACTAACAAAATGTTCAGTATTTAGAAAGGACAGACGATAAAGCTTAACTTAAACATTCAGGTATTAATGAAGGAAATTATATACATGCACTGTTACAAAAGTTACAGGCATATATGAACTACAGAGATCCCAAAACAATTGTATAAATACACATTTACTAATAGAAAGTCCAATCGAAGGTACATTTGAAAAAAATGACTATCATGGTATAAAAGTCAACAGTCGGTGAAATCAAAAACGCATCAACAATTGTTTTTTTTACTGCATAGTGAAATAGCATTGTCAGTGATGATTCTACAATGTATCTAATGTATACTTACGATTGAGACATATGTATGCTTCCGTTGATAGTTGTCTATTCAATGCACTGTCATTTACAACACATTCTACCGAAGCATTGTCAAAATCTCTAGTTATCTGCGGTATTGTATATACGATAGACTGGTTTCCTTTTTTGACCTCTTGATTTCGAACTTTGAGTGTAAGAAAAGGGGGTGGTTGACCTCCTTTTGCTGCGCATTCAATGTGAAAGTCTTGGCCTTCTACTCCATTTAATCTATTGTAAGTGGTTTTATCTAAAAGTTCAAGCTTTTCCACTGGTTCTATAAATACAAAATTTATCATCTAAGTCATCTTTATCATTTGTAATTGACAAAGGTCTTTTTAAGTAGTGAAAAAGAGGGGCTAAAGATACCAGAGGAACAGTCAAACTAACAAATCGAAAATAAACTGACAACGCCTTGTTAAAAAATAAAAAGACAAACAGACAAACAATAGCACAAAAGACACATCATAGAAACTAAAGACTAAGCAACACGAACCCCACCAAAAACTGGGAGTGATCTCAGGTGTTACGGAAGGGTAAGCAGATTCTGCTCCACATGTGGCACCTGTTGTGTTGCTCATGTTATTACAAACCCGGTAAATAGTCTTATTCGGTAGGTCACATTCGTGGTGAAAAGGGTAGTGAATTGTAGTTACGACATAAGGAACATATCCGATATCATCTATGAAACGGTTATTCCATAACGTTCAACCAACTCGTGATGACGTCCGTAAATTTACGAAGGGATGATTTCAACTTCACTATTTGGAACTCTTGGTTTAATAGTTTCCTTGTGAGCAGCAACCCTCTATCAAGGAAATATGATATGAAATACAAGCCCACGGATATCGTATCTATTAGGAGATATGTAATCCGTATGCAGGCGCTGCTGGAATGTTGCTACATAGAAATGGAACGTTCACAATTGGGAAGTTGAAATCATCTCTTTTGTCGTAAAGTTTTGTTTTCAACCGACCCTCATTGTCAATTTCTAGATGTAAGTCAAGATATGAGGCAGACTTAACTTTATCTGTTGTGTCTTTTATCTCTAGTTCGATGGGATAGATGCGTTCAACATAGTCACCAAATTTTGAATTATTTAGTGAAATAATAAAAGTTATTTAGTGAAATAATATAAAAGTTGTATTTGATATATCTCAGAAAATTTACCTTTTCTTGATAAGATAAGTTGAACACCTCATTCTTACAATGGGACACGTATATGTCGATGCGACCAAATGTTTTGTTGACGAACAAACAGAGAAATAACGTACACGTCAATGTACAACAAAGTATTCGTGCGATTTTGAACGGTTTTTTAAATCCTTTGAACTATTTAGAAAATCGAATGTTCTATTTCAAATAGACAATACGATTGTTTAAAACTTGCTAGAACGAATTTAAAATCGTTTGAATGATTTTTTAAAATAGTATGTACGATTTTCTAAATCGTGAGAGTGTACAATTTCATAAATCGTTCAGACAATATTATATTGTAGTTTGTATGATTTTCCAAACCGTTTGTACAATTTACTATCAAAAATCGTTAGATCGAATTTTTCAATTGCTAGAACAATAGATCAGAAAATGATTTTAACTATGTTTCCAAAATTGGTTGTACTATTAAAACATCGTTTAAATGATTATTCCCTATTGTACAATCTATTTTCTTAAATATGCAAACTATTGAAAAAATCTAACAAATGATTTAAACGATTTTCTTATTTGAAATATTTTTGAAATTTAAAAACAATTTTAAAAATCATACAAACAATTGAAAAATTTGTCCAAACGATTTTAAAAATCATAATAACGTTTTCCTCAATCGTAGAAACGATTAAAAAAATATCGTCAATTGATGAAATAAATTTGTTCGAATGACTAAAAATAATTTGTCAATGGATAGTTAGATAAAATAGAATTTGTCAATAAACTAAGCAAGGTTATTAAAAAATCTGCAATAACTTTTCTGAAATATAAAACAGCCGGAAACAAAGACCCCTTGTTAGAATCTTAATCAGTTTAATGGCTTTATTTAATTTGCTTTAAGGTTCTTTGTTTTAATTAATTTTCAGAAAACATATCTGTATTAACTGAGGACACAATAGTTGTTGGTAATATCCTGACAAAACAGAAAAA